CGTGGAATGGACGGTAAACAGATGTGTTTCACATCTGGAGTAACTTTGTGTTACGAGCATGGTTTTATTTAACTATTTTGGATTTTGACCAGATCCAACTCGATGCTTGCTGTAAAGCGAGCTTTAGGCTCCGGCCAGTGAAGGAAGGACACGATTGACCGTCCAAGAATCTATTGCGCCTGACCTCGATAGGTAGCACAGGACTATCCCTTTTCCACGCAGTCGCATTCAGCGATGCCTAACTATTGTTCTTTCACTCGTGCGCTTCCTTCATGCTCTCCTCCCATTTAATTCTACTTAATTCTACTGGGAGCATACACTTTTGTTTTAATCTGACTACGCTATAATGTCATGGCGTGCATCTGTCTGAATGATTTGTACCGGAAATAACAAACGTGTTCTAACATCAGTTAACACACTCCAATCACTCAGTAGTGTCATGTTGGGAGTTTGTCTATATTTCTGAGATGAGGTATTATGTACAGTATTTACTATTGTCCTCATCTTTGTCGCCATATTTGTCACAACGTTTCGGCTGTTGTACGCTCCGGACTTCTTCAGTTATCAGTTATCTCCTGCTAATTTTCCCTCTGAACGTTCTCCACTGCCTTAACCGGGTATTGAACTCACATTCTTTCGGTCTGTCACTGGATCTAACCAACACCTTTATCCACTCTGCCATGTGCCCTTGAGGACACCTTTATCCACTGTACCATGTGCCCTTGAGGACATCTGGGTATGAACTTCTGGGTATTATAAACCTAATGTTTTCAGCAACTATTTTTTTACCAGTGCTCATATTGCAATTTTGCTGTTATCATTGCATGTTTTTGCCAGAGTTCATATTGCAACTTTGTTATCATTGCTTTTCTCTGGCACTCCTTATTACTGGTTCCCATATTGTATTTATTTCTATGCTTGGTCGGCTCAGGAGAATTTTGTGGCCTAGCATATGTGCTGATTCCTTGAGTTTTCGAATTTTCCAATGGTGTTACCTGTCTATGATCTCAACATGATCCCACAGGGGACGGTGATCACAACGGCCGAAACGTTGTGACAAATATGGCGACAAAGATGAGGACAATAGTCCGACTAATGTAAATAATGTTGGGAGTTATTTGGTTCTTTCGCACGAGGCTTTCACCTTCCTTGTGGAAACGGATATAAGGTTCTCTGGCCGTTCTGTTGGCTGCTTCACACTGTGTACTAAGTCCATGACTACTTCCAGCACTTTCTTATGACGCCATGTATACATCTGCAGTGATTGTGGGCATGCAGATAGCACGTGACGTGAGGTGCTTCGATCACGTTGACATAATGCGTATATAGCAGTGTCAGTGTACCCCCCACAGCTTGAGGTTGGTCGCATTTGGTAAGAGATCATTTGTAGATCGCAGGTGGAATGATATTGTCAATAGCTCCATCGCAGTTAGGGTATTACATGATAGCTTCAGTGGATCAATATCACTCCATGTCGTCCAAACATATTGCTTGGACTGAGAAACAACAGTAGCTGTTCGCTACTTTTCCTCTAAATTCCGGATTTCTTCAATCCCCATATCTCATTTACTCTTTGGACTCTGTTTGGAGAAAAACTGGTTGCTCGTGCTGCCCAAGTAAGCCTCGATTGTTTTGGGTCACCCCACCCCAATAATCTTCTTGGTTCACAGACTGGAATCTGCTTCTTGGGTGACTTCTACTGTCGACCATTTAGTGCCAGTTTTGATTTCTGGCCGTAACCCGCAGACGAACTCATCTGCCGAGTCCTTCATTACATTGTGAATGTATACCTCCCCGACCTTGAACTCGACCCCCAATAAGGAGATAGGAAGTTTCAAGTTTCCGGCATTGGTGTAGAGTCCCACCGGGGAGAAGCAGGTGGGGACTTCAAGTCACTTACGCAAGTAATTGTGGATATACTACTGCGTCTGCTGAATGCGTGACACAGTGATAATAGCATAAACCTGAAACGGTCACAGAAGCCGAGGCAGCAAACCATGTTTGTAGCACCAAGCCTTCAGTTTACCAGAGGGATGGATTCTGTCGATGGATTCAAGTCCATCTAGTGCCACTTTACCTCGCTACCGATCAGTCAGTGGAATTTCATACAATCATCCGAGACTCTCCACTCGCTTCTCTTTGACTGTCGGGAACATGTCACCCATGATGTAGAAGTGAACCTACCTGACAGAACCTCTGATTAATGATGAGCTCCGGATTTTCTTGGGCTTAACTTTTATTCTCGCCCACACGAAGAGCTGCAGTTATTCATCGGCACCGACCTTAGACGGGACCAAAATGGTGATGTCACCCTTGAACGCTATGGAAGGAGGAAAGACGATTTGTTCCTTAGTCATCACTCTTTTATCTGTGTTCTTTGCTGCATCCCTTAATATGAGTTCCATAGACATAATGAAAAGAAGTGGTGAAATAACGCACCCCCATCACACACCCTGGAGAGCTTGTCAATTGGCGGTGAAGTTACCGACGGTGAATTGCATAAACGCTGCTCTGAAATATTTCATTAACATTTCTCCAACCGTACTAGGGAAATTGAAAAATTAGAGGGAGATTCGAATTAGCTCATGAGGAACTGATCCATACGCATTCGCAAGATCAAGCCAAATTAAATGAAACTCAATTTTATTTTGTTTGGCTGATTGAGTTTCAAATCATGTGTGAATGCTCCAGAGAGGCGTAGAAGCTATGTATCTCAGCCTTCTGGACATCTGTGTTTATGTAATGGTTACTTAACAAGAAGCCCGCCGTGCGACGAGCAAGGACCCCAAAAAATAATTTCCCCCATTACATTCAAGAAGAAGATGGTACAGAAACTTGCAATCTTTTTTGCTTTCTATTCCTTATGTATCCAAATGCCATCCGCCAGGCACCATTTTTGTGGTACTTGTGTTATGGTCCGGTTCCTTGTACCACGGTGCTAGTCCAAGGTAGAACCAATCAAGAAGAACTCGAATACGGATATGGAATAACACAGATATATTACAAACAGGAATATATACAGAGAGGTAGAAAATGTTAGTACGAACAATCAGGTTTAGTAGTAATTGTCTGAACACGACTCTGTTTCGGACTGCCTCTGACTCGACTGACTAACTCGCTCTGACTGACCTGACGGACTTCACTCCAGACTTCAGACTGAACACTCTGCTTCCTCTTGAGGCGCAGTATTTATTACGTATGGAATAGTCCATTATGTTATTATGGGTAAGGTCCCCTAACAACTTGTATAAATGAAAAGCCAAATAATCATTAATTAGTTATCAATCACCACCTGAATATTGCGCGGCATATGAAAATAAGTTATGCTACTGCTGGTGAGGAAACATTTATATTTATTATTAATTTAATATATATATATATATATATATATAATCATGTTATCGCAAGCAATGCGATAATGCCACTGGGAGTGAAAAGAGAATGACAAAATTTTAGAGTGGAGAAAGTACAATAAAGGGAATAAAATTCAGCAATACTGAAAATATTGACTGACGTTACGTTTAGGTGCGGAAGGAGCAAGGAAGTGGAAGAGACTTCCACAGGTGAGATGTACGAGAAAAATAACTATTAGAAAAGAAAATTCTATTGCATCTAACAAGTTCAACAATAAAACGGTGGGACCTAATTGCCAATCTTGTAGTACACTTAAAGACATAAGAATGTGGAGAGCTCATTTTAACAGTTGCCATGAAAATATTTATAGAAAATACGCAGTGAAACCACGTCATGGCGTTCGGAAAACGGTAAGTCAGGATCAAAAATATTAAAGATCATTCTTTGGATTTTGTCAAAAATCTCAAGAGAAAAATCAGAAGCATCAGACCAGATATAACAATAATATTCAATGCACAGACGGATGGTATATTGTTAAATATGAAAGATGGATTCTGACTAGTACATTTGTCTGCCACGACAGAGCGAATCAACTTTCTTATCAGCAACCCTAGCAACTGATTCAATATAACTCCAATTCATGTGAGTGGAAAACGTGAACAGAAGAAGGTTCAATGAGATGAACTCCAGGAGGTTAGCATTAGCCATACTGATGGAAGGTAGAAAAAGTTCACAAGTGATTAGAGATCGTTTTCGAGAGCAATTAAAATACTAGTAAATAGTTGAGTCATCAGCAAAAATACCTAGAAGAAACAAGGTTATGAAATATTAATGACATATTTAAATTATCCGTGATTTTTATTCTTATGGGTACCTCTCTGCCCGGAGACAAAGAGTTTCAGATGTAATCCGGATAGTGATGATATTCACCTACCGCCCCACGCTGTCGGATGTGGCACAAAGCCAAGTTTAATGTGGGGTATCCGAGCCCGTAAGCTCGGGCAAAAATTCCTCGTAGACCCCGTAAAAAACGGCGTCGGGTAGCTGTCTACCACCCCAGACGAGACACTGCCCTTTGGCATAGCCTCTTCTGGGTTCCTTTCTGCCCAAAGGCAGAGAGTTCGACATGCACACTTCCGAAGTAATTCGGAGAGTGATATTTACTTGACTCCCACGGGGTCAGGATGTGACACAAGGTCGTTTAACGTGGGAGACCCGAGCGTTTCCACTCAAGGGCCACTGGTCCAAAACTGGTCATAGCTTGTCCAAGCTGGTCAGAGCTTAGTCAAAGCTGGTCATAACTTGTCCTAGCAGGTCCAGGCTGGAGCCAGTCCAAGCTAGTCGAAGCCTTGATCGAATCTCAGCCATAAGCCAAGAAACGATCCAATATTTGTCAAAAACCCCAACGAAATTCGTCGGGAGAGTTAGTAATTCGGAGAGTGATCCCATAAAAGCCATGCTAATTATCATATATTCAATATCCTTTGCCATCACGTGATCTACTTATTTAAAATGTGATCGCCTGTGTTTGCTCTCTGGCGATCTGTGTTTAAACTCCAGTGTCAGCAGTGACAACTTATTCCTATATAACACTTTCTATATCACTTTTTGTATTTTCCTTTATCTCTGATAGCTTGTTAAATTTCATGTTTTCTTTCTTTCTTGTGATTCTAAATGAAAGCTATAACCTCTTTTGTCTTTGCATTTTTTTTCTTCCTTTGTTTTTTCTTTGTTTTTCATTATTCTGTTTTCTCGTCTTTTTCTCTGTTTTTCTTATCCACCAATTTCTGTCTTTTTTCTTTATTTGTTTTTGTTATGGGACCTTACCCATTTTGACATAATGGACTATTCCATACGTAATAAATAATGCGCCTCAAGAGGAAGCAGAGAGTTCAGTCTGAAGTCTGGAGTGAAGTCCGTCAGGAGTCTGTCAGTCAGTCAGAGCGAGCGAGTCAGTCAGTCAGTCGAGTCAGAGGCAGTCTGAAACAGAGTCGCGTTCAGACAATTACTACTAAACCTGATTGTTCGTACTAACACTTTCTACTTCTCTGTATATATTCCTGTTTGTAATATATCTGTGTTATTCCATACCCGTATTCGAGTTTTTCTTTATTGGTTCTACCTTGGACTATCACCCGGGGTACAAGGAACCGGACCATAACAGTTTTTATCTTTTTTTCTGATTTTTTTTTCTTTTTCTTTTTTTATTTCAGCTCTGATCTAGCGTTTCGTCTGCAGTCACTCTCTCACAGACGCATCGTCGCCTCTCTCTGTCTTTTCTACAAATACTTCCATGGTAACTGCTCTGACTAGCTGCTTTCTCTGGTTCCCAGACTCCATGAATTCAAGCGCCGTACGAGGCTGGCATCCCGTTCCCACCCTTACACCGTAGAAACTTTCAAATGTAGCCGTCTCTTCTACTCCAGTAGCTTCATACCTCGCACCTCTCACCAGTGGAACACCCTCCCCAATTACTGTTTCCCTGAAAGCTATAATCTCCAACTATTCAAATGTAATGTCAATCGACCTCTCCTGTTGCCTTGATCTACCCACTATCCTTCTCCTCATCCTTTCTCCTATCACTCCTATCTGCTCTCGCTCCAAATCTTCCGCAACCCCCTGCATCCTAGTGGCTTCACGCCTTGCTTGGGGCGTAATGCTTAAAAAAAAAAAAAAAAAAAGATATTCTTTCTTTCTTTCTCTCACGTTTAAATCAAAGTTTTATCTACTTAATTTCGTACTAGTTACATTTTGCTTTTTCTAAATTATTTCATTACTTATTTCTCTGTTTCAGGCACAGTTTTATTTCCTTTTTACTCCTTCAATATTTGTACGTTTTCACTTTTCCTCACATATTCTATTCCCAAATTTCTGTAGTTTTCTGCCCTCACTACTCTCACCGGTTCCCACGACCCTCCCTACTTCCTTTCTTCCTTCGCTCTTTCCTTTGTCAATGTCACATGCTCTCCTCGTGTGATGTATACCCTTCTATCTATGTACACAAACAAATCGTTTCATGTCTGTGTATATTATATTATCGGGCGCTTTATTAAGCGTTTTGTAAAACTGATGCAACAAAAACATTCACTAGCAACGGATAAATTAGACAATTTACAAAGGCTTGGAAAATAGTCCGCAAACAGATCCCTGTCAGTAATTCTTACTGGCTGCAATTTACTTTAAAGATTTCCAAACCTGCTTTCATTTTGTGTCACTTCCATGACCCTTTATATTTTTTCACTACTGATCTTTACATATCTGCGTACACTGTTGTAAATATGTATTTCTAAATTGATTATCGAAATACCCGTATGTAAGTATAGTGATTAGATTATTTGTTTCCCAAAACAAGAAAGAAACAAAGAAAGAAAAATCAAAGAAGCAAACAAAGACAGATAGTAAAAAAAGAAAAAAAAAATCTATGAAAAAATAAAAATATTTGATAAATCCAAAGTCTATATTCGGCAACCCCAAAGTTATTAAATATTTTTTGGTTGCTGATAGGGGCAGAATTTTTTATATCTGGTGGTCATGAGTTCATTCCTAGGATCACGTAGTGAAATTGAAATAATCTAGTTTAGCAAACGAAAATGAAATGGCATCACAAGTACAAAAATATTACACTATACAACATTTAAACTATATTCAATATCATCCAAAACAACAAAAACATAACGATAGCTCAGGATACTTGGTCGAAACATTGAATATAATGAAGTTTATATCCATAGTTTGAATAAATTGATATCTCTAAATATACTAACAATTACTCATCTGAAAGAAAATCAATCAAAATTTGTAAAGGAGTTTTTTTTAAAAATATTTTACTATAAATAGACCGATTCTTGAAACGCCTAGGATAATGCAGAATTTCAACACTAAAAGAAAAACAATAAAGCAATTACATGGAAATATCAGACATGGACAATGAGTTAATTAAAATGGCTGGATTTTATCTGGACAATCAATAGTGTTTAATTCTCGAATCATCAATTGTCAATTTCTTTTGATGGCAACTAGCACGCATTCAGTATCCCCGAGTTATATTTGTATTTAAGGCGAGAGAGAATGCGCTTAACGCGCGCGCATACACACTATCTATCTATCTATCTATCTATCCGTAACCACTCAAACGAACACTTCTGACCACTTCTTTCCAATCATTTCTGTCATGAGTTGATCGATGAAGCTTCATGTTGGTATACCCTGTGATCTTTCATGGAGCTTGAAGGTGACATTCGTGCCAGTAGTTATTGGAGTACTCCGATCGATACTGAAGGGCCTAAGAAAAAAACCCGTAAAAGCCTAAAACATCCAGACGACGTCAGTATTGAAAACGAATTAAATACTGGGAAAAAAAATGCCATAAATTATAATGGAAATGCTGTCAATTGTTTTCCATTGTAAACAGCCATTTAGTACTGGTGTGAAAAAGTAATGAACAATAGCAAACAACATCATGTATAATATGCAAAATAGTCTCAATTATCAGCCATATCTATCTATCTATCTATCTATCTATCTCAGTCTTCATATCTAACTCAGATCTATCTGTCTCAGTTTGTTCATATCTCAGACTGTTCATATCTATCTATCTATCTATCTATCTATCTTTCTTTCTCAGCCTGTTTATATCTATCTCAGTCTTTTCATATCTATCTATCTATCTATCTATCTGTCTTTCTCAGCCTGTTTATATCTATCTCAGTCTTTTCATATCTATCTATCTTTCTCAGCCTGTTTATATCTATCTCAGTCTTTTCATATCTATCTATCTATCTATCTGATAGTCTGCAAACGAGAACATCTAACCACTTACAGTCAGCTATTTCTGTCATCCATAGCTCTACCCAGCTCTTCTTTTCTGATTCCATTTTCATCTATGAGTTGAATGATAATGGTTCTAGCTTGTCTACCCTGAGAGCTTTTCCCATAAGTTTGATCCCAGAGTATAAGCTGATGTGCAAGCTCTTGTTTACTTCTACAGTAATGACCACGAAACCATACTCGCCCCTTACTAATTGCGCGCACACACACACACATAAAAAACGCACACACACACACATACAAACACACATATATATAGGGAGTGAGAGGGTGAAAAGAGAGTGAGGAGTAATAGTTAGCGGCTCGGATTGAGGTATCGGCGAGTCTTGTTCGAATTCCAGCCGAGTTGATTATATGCACCTACGTGCTAATACCTTTGTGAAAGGTTTGACTCCAACTTCCTCACGAGGTAAAATAAAATAACCTTGGGTGGCAACCAGTCTAGAAAAGGTGGCAACCAGTCTAGAAAAAGGAGCCTCTAAATTCAAACTTGTTCGCATTATCCTAAAAGTGTATACATGGTGCTGTGAATGCAAATTAAGATATTCTCGGATGCGTCGTTAAATGGTGTCCAATGTTCCGTAGGTAATGAGAGGAACAAAATAATATATATATATATATATATATATATATATATATATATATATATATATATATATATATAAAGGGGTAGCAGATCATTATTCAAATAATGTTAAATATAACAGATAACATTATGCTATTATCATTAGCCTTTCTAAGCGTCGTATAATGGCTATTGTTTCGAAAGAAACAAAGGCAAAACCTATTCAACACTTGGATATTTCTTTATTATATTGGTCTTCGATCTAAGCTTTCGGCTCACATGAGTGGTTATATGGGCATTACAACAGAGATGTTGACCATCAAAGATGGCATACTATTTTGTTTACATAGAAGTTTGCTGTGTGACGAAAAGGGTCATAAATTCGTAATGCGATTCTATGACGCCGTAAATGACCACGTGATAGAAAGAACCATATGTTTAGATGAAATGTAATATGTTGTGACTGGTTTGAAATGTAATTTTGTTGAATGTGTGTTGCTTTGTTTTATACACACACACACACACACATATATATATACATACATATACATGATGGCTCTCGACACGCGAGACGAGTATGACCTTTGCTGACAAGTACAATTTAGAGTTCTAAAGAGGCTAAAGAGTCCAGTATACTTTGCTATTTAACTCATAGGTGGGTTAAAAAGAAATAGATTCATACCTTTCCCATTTGGGAAAGGCATGAAACTGATTCTTTTTTTTACGTTTACGTGAACGTAACCACACTAGACATGGAACTTGGTTCTCCGGCCTCTTATTTCTAAATACACATACATATATCTGGCCACTCGTATTCGAGGATACCCGCCAACTAGGACGGCTAGCCAATCCCTATTGCATACGCTTGCTCAGGCGCATTTGGGTTTATTCATAAACCCACAGAGCCCAACTGTGGTTCATACTCTGCTGAGCATACCTTAGTTACAGTTTCTGGGAAAGAGAATGTTATCTAGCGTGATCAAAATTTTGAACAAGGGCCTCGGTCACAATGACTTGTGACTTCATGCTAGCAGCATCAAGGGTTCCGTCTACCCCATTTCACTCACTATGTTTGGGTTAACCCGTGGTATAGTTTTCAGGTACATTCCCTTCAGTCCGAGAACATCAGGAAGTCGCCTTCCTGGCAAATCGACCATGGTGAGAATCGAACCCGGGTCTCATGGTCAGAACGCTCAACGTTTTCACCACTCGGCCACGTGCCCACATACATACATGCATAGATACATACATAATAAAATAATAGCTGGTCACTCGTGTTCGAGGATATCAGTCCTATAAGGCGGCTAGCCAATCCCTATTGCAGACGCTCGCTCAGGTAAATTTGTGTTTGCTCGACAACCCCCACAAATCCCACCTGTGGTTTATACTGCAACTATGCCGAACAAACCTTAGTTACAGTTTCTGGGGGAGAGCGTGTTATCTAGCGTTATCAACAATTTGAACAAGGCCAGCACGCTAAAGCCCTCGGCTACGATGACTTGTGGCTTTGTGCTAGCACAGCAATCGACGGCCCTCAAGAATTCCGTTTAACCAATTTCACCCACAAGGCTTGGGTCAACACGTGTATGGTTTTCAGGCACTTTCCAAAGATGACGCACGCTGAAATCGACCTTGATCCATTTCGACATAAATACATACATACATACTTTTGGATGAACGCATATAACTGTAAGCCTAACAATTTATCTAGCTTTCATTTTCTTATATAGTGATTTACTAAGCGTAGCTCGCATGTGGCACAAGCCGATAAATATACATTGGTATATAATTTCAATTGCTATGTTAATTGAAAGACTTTTTTACTCGACACTGTCCACGTGTTGTTCAGTGCCATAAGCATATATACACATAAAATCATGCAAACCCATGAACACAGAATTGCGTATTCACACACAAAATACTCAACCAATCCGAACATCTTAGCATCCTGACTTCGATATGAAATTTCCACGCTACGACGAACACACGAACACAATATTACACGCATAAATAGGCTTACGCCGAAGCACGCAATAATTTGAAAGTTATCGTCTTGCTTTTTGATTGGTGGATCACCGGTGATAGAGATTCGAATCTGACCGTTGCCTGTTAAAGTTTTTTTTTTTTCTTTTTTAATATTTGAAATTGATCACTGCCAGGGTTACTCAAAGGAAACCTGTTCAAGTTTATATACTCAGAGTAAAACTCTTTACAGATTTTATTTTTTTTATCAAAAAGTAAAAAAAAAAAAACACGAGTTTATTATGGTTTCGTTTAACTGTTTAGAATTGTGGGGAAAGGCTATTTAATTTGTAACTGCACATTTGTTTATTCGGAAAGAAAAACATAGTTCTGTTAGGGAGTAAATTTATAATCGAGCTTTTAATTTTAATGAAAGTCCTTTTAAAACACTTCAAATTAATATTATAAAATTGTTTAACATAAACCTTTTGACATGTTTAAACAAAATATGAAATCTGTATTAGATTGGTTTCGTTTCTGCTTTATGGTGTGTTTGGTGTTAAAATAATAAGTTGAAGAACAAAGTAATTTATTGTTCAAGTATTAGGTTTATGCAAAAATAATGACGTAATAATGTCGTTTTTTGACGTATTCTTTAACGTTAAAAAACGACATTATTACGTCATTATTTTTGCACCAACCTAGTAGTATAAGAGGTTCTAATCTGCATTCGTGCTTCCCCCAGTATTAATGATCCGATCTTCGTTTAGTTTGTTTTGTTTTGTTTATTTGTTGAACGACATATCAATCCCTTCTAGGTGATTTATTGCCGAGATTTTATTCTTTTGTGGGCTTTGGGTTTTTTTTTTTTGGTTTTTTTAAATGTATCGTTGGTAATTTTTATTTTATTTTATTTTTTGTTTTTTTACGATGAAAATGTATTGTTGGTCATTTTTTTCCAGTAAAATACAGCTAGTAAATTTTATTTTATTTGTTTGTTTTTTGTTTTTACAATGAAAATGTATTGTTGGTAATTTTTTATAATGTATCGATAGATTTTCATTTTTTGACCCCAGTTTCAGTATTCACTATTTGTCCATAGCTGGGACTTAACAGGTGCTACCAACTTGGATCAGCAGTAATTAAGAGGTCTGGTTTTGTATGTTTGTATTTCTTAGAAATCATATCAACATAAGAAAGACAAAAAGAAATGAAAATATTAATATTTGCTGCTTAAAATCCCTAGGAAATAACAATGCCTTTATTTGGTAAACTCTCTTCGTTTCGATATATATATATATATATATATATATATACAAGCAAACAAAAAACACTAAATTTCTCCGACATTATTTCCTAGAATAACAAAAGTGATTTTTGGGAAGCCAGTGATCAAATTAATGCCATGGTTCAAAGCCTAGGAAATTTTCTCTTTATTAAGTCTCTCGAATTCCAGCCGATGTAATTCAGATTGTTAAAAAAAGGTGTTTATTCAAACATTGGGTATCACAAAGTAAGATTTCTGTAGTAGCGCGCGCACACACACACACATATATATATATATATAACAATTTTGTTTTATATATATATATATATCGAAAACAAAATTGTAACACCCTGATACTAATTTTGATCTTGGTACAGTATGTGTATGCTAGTGAATCGTAGATATTATGGTAAAAGACTTTGATTGTCTTTTGATGGACTAACACACATACTAGAACGACTCGAGGCTAAAAACTGAACGTAGACAGTTTTCTTGACAGCTCCATATAACAGGCGCTCTCCACGAACGATGTATTGTAAGATCAGCAATGGCACACCCAACAGCGTGCACAGCACGTGTCTGAGCAACTATGGCCCCAGAAGTATCCGTTCGCAATCGTTTACTTCCAGATATTGAGAGTATTCACATCTCTGATCACATTTCTACTTATACCGTAAACCTTTTCAGTTGTACCATGAGAGGGTTACTTGTTGCGCCGAATGGCTCACTCTTCACTGATGAGTAAGGATGCTGCCCTCATAAAAATCATGGTCGTTTGCGTATGCGATTGTGACTGTAGGCGCAACTTTCTCCAGGGTGTAATCACTAACGATACACAATTTCTGGCATTATAATCTTCGGTGATTTTGGAGGGAAAATTGAATAGGACCATATATGTCTAAAACATTGTTATATCTGTTTTCCTAAAATTCTTGCAATGTGTTTCACCAGGGGAAAACCTACCCATACGTGTAAGATGTTTGACAGCTTTTTCTGGAGTACCTTATTCCCTACTGAAAATGTTCGTGACATGATAGTACGATACTTGACTAATTCATTTGACCAGCCCACAAGCGAGGATTAATCTATAATATGATCCTATTTTACATCTGTATAATCCTATGCAAGGCAGGGTACAAGCCTATGTTAAACCCCAGTGAAGATAT